TTTGCCCGTTGGAAACTGTTGGTCATTAGAATTTGAATCCCGTAGCCCGCTTGGGAAAGACATATAATTATAAGTTTAGAAAAGTATTAAATCAAACTGATTCCATATCTTTCATAGTTTAAATAAAAGAGCACTACACATCGAGTCACATATTTATCCCAAAAAATAAACACAAGACTTAAGGGTGAGACTCGATCAAATAAACTAAGAAACATATGACATCAGTTTGGTCCGCAAAAACCATTTTATTTGTAAGCCGACAAGTTCCACCATTTAATATGAAAAAGTAAATAGTTGATACTTGGGATAGTTTTAAGCTGTGTTTGGAAAAGCTTCCTATAAGGGAAAGCTTCTATAGTTAGATACATCTTAAATGATCGAAGTCACTCAAGAAAACTCTCGATAAAAATCAGGGGACATTATCTTGAAAGAGGTCAAAGGAATATGACTTTTCAATGAGATCAGACAAAGATGTGTGAAACGGGAATGACTCAGATTTAGAACATTTATTTTAGAGTCAAAAGGAAGAAGAAATGGGGGACGTCACAGATCCTGAGGAGAACCTCGGTGACTTCTTAAGCTACCCTATGGTTTGGCTTCAGTTTTGGAGAGAAATTATTTAAATGTTTCATCCTTCCAATTTTCAATTATTTAGGGCTTACATTCATGTGAAACAATCACACAAATAGCCTGGAAGATGTGAGGATTTAGATCGTGACGAACTACAACCTCAAAATCCTAAGACGAGTTAGGGCTTATATTGTACAACATGATTGTACAAAGGCCTAAAGATAAGTTGAGGATTTATGTTGCATAAGCAAACCACCTCGAAGTTCTATGGATTGTTGTTTAATTCTAAGGAATGGATGGTTTAGTTAGTGTAGACATGTTCTGCTGTTGAAGATGGTGATGCTGCCCACAATGTTAGGTCCAAGTTCCTTGTCGCTTGTCGTGGCGAGTTTAAGTTTTCTAATGTGTCAAGTCATGATGTCAAATCAAATATTTCTAAGGGTCATGGTTATTTAAAAGTGTCAAGTCATGATGTCAAATCAAATGTTTCTAAGGGTCTGATACCACTATTTTCTTTTGGATTCACTTAGTTCAAATGAATTTACTAAACTCAACTCAATGAGTTCCATACCATTATTTAGACCGTGGAAAACCTCGTTAGCAACCGTAGGTTACCTCCTCTGAGGAACTCCCGATCATCCGATAGAGACATCTTAATTTAGTTCTAGTTTTTGTTTTGTCATGTTTGTGATTAAATTTTGAGTTGTTTTATATTTTGAATGTTGTGACAGTGAATTTTATCCTGTTTGATTTTTAAATTTTTGTTTTGATTTTGTGGTTATCCTAGCAGTTTTGATTTTTATGCAGGGTGACATCATTCCTTAACATGGAAGTTTGAAACAAGAAGTACTGAAAGGTAAACACAGTAATTTAAAAGGCTTATCTGTCGATTTTTATCGTTCCTCCACCTGAAAGGTTAATACTTGCAAGACAAGTATATAATTTTGCAAAGAATTCAAATTGCAAGAATAGATGAAGGTATAGCTATCCAAGCCCAAACTATGATTTTATTGAGCCTCCGAAGTTCTTAGTTGATGATTCTAGAACAAAATATGGCAAGTTCAACTTGTCCTTCAAAATATCTAAAAGATTTCAAAGTGCTCGGGGTATGACACATCGGGGTATGACCCTAAACTACTTTGAAGTTCTCTTGAATTATTTTGAGTTCATTTTTTAACTTGTCATATTGTTTCAATAATCATCCGAGTTTAGTGTGACTACCCCGTTGCTTTGTGAAACTTCACAATTCAATTATCTCAAGGATAGGATACTCAGTCAATTTGACACTTTACTTAAGATTTATATGGATGAATGCCCCTGAGGCAAGCTCAAGTCATTAAAGATTTGGTGCTTATCACAAATGGGCTTAGAGTGCTTAAAAGATGCTAATCAGTAATCGTATCATCACCACTCCAATGAATGGTTTTAAATATAAAGCTTAGCTCACTACCAACCCCTTAACAATTCCAAAAGGGGGAAGTTATAATCGTCATAAAACTTTAATTTAAATGATAGGTATCCTTATAAACAGATCATTCATCACCAATCATGGGCTATAAGTAAGTGAATTATCATCTTCCTAGTTTAAACAAATCACTTTAGGATCATTTAATTTTTTAGGATCATTTAAGGATCATTTAATTTTTGCTTAACTTCCAAAGAGTAATTCAAGAAACAATTTTATTCTTATATTGCAAAAGTAGCAAGTTGGTTTCTACCTGTAACCCATTGCATTTCAATCATCCAATGTATTCATTAAGGATCAAAATTACCCATCCCCAATGGTTAATCTTAAATTTTGATTAAGACACCAAAATCTAAATTTACCACTTTGCCCATTGGGTTTTTCATCTTATAATTCTTTAAGAAAAATTCAAATGGCCTTGAAATTCTTTGAGTATCTCATTCATGGATTAATTAAAATAACAGGGAGGAGAGTATGATTTTTCAAATTTTGATTTAATTTAAAATAATTATTTTAACCCAAAAATGGGACTTTTCAATGTTAATTTATTTAATTAAATAAAATGAAATTTTAATTTCTAGAAAAATTATTGGAGGTTTGCATGGGTGAGAAGAATACTTGGACAAAATTTTATGATTTTTTTAAATAATATTGTAATTATTATAATTATTTAAAGGTCATTTTTAATGACTATTTAAATACAAAAATATTTTTTAATCTTAGAAAATGACTTTAATATTTTTATTAAACCCACATAAGTCTAAGAAACTCAGAGGAACAATTTTTTATATTTTTATGATTTATTTTGAATTTATGGTAATTATTTTAATGGAAAATAATAAAAATACATTTTAGGCCTTTAGAAATTTATTTTTAATTTATAAAAATCAGGAAAAAACATTTTAAGGGGTCCCAAGTGATCAGGGAACAAGTTTAAGGGGTCCCAAGTGATCAGGGAACAATTGCACACATTTTGAACTATTTTTTGTATATTTGAAAATTTTGATTATTTTAATTATTTTTAATTCAAAATATATTTTAAAAATTTTGATTTCTTTTTCAAGGTTCTCTTACAAATGTTGAGCTGCAAACATTTTTATTATACAAAGCAATCTTCACTTGCATTTTGTCCCCTTGGTTTTTTTTTATGTACTTGTACAAAACTCAAATAGCCATTAAAGTAGACTAAATATTATGTTTATTATTATAAAAGTTGAGCTTACATAGTAGGTTCACAGGGATCAACATTTATTGTTGCATTGAAGATATGAAACTAAAAATCCTCCATACTGCTTTATGTATGTGGAAAGTGGGGTTCATTTAACTCATTATTTTTGGGTGTCATTGGCCAAGTTAATGAATATGAGTTATAAGAATTGAATCAAGGACCTAGCTTCAAAATTTTTAAATTCAAATATGAAATGAAGGAAACATTCCCAAAATTTTAAGGATGGTTGGGAAGATTTATGTTGAATGTGTTAGAAAATATAAATAATAACTTATATCAAAGTTTTAGAGAAGCAATTTAAATTCAAATTTAGTCCTATACCACTATGCGGTATGGGAGATCACTCACTCAAAATTTTAAAGGGTGACTAGAATACTTTTAAAATTTTAGATTTAAGACTCATAAAGTTTGCAAATATTTGGATGGTTAGGAGCCAAAATTATTTAAATAATTAACTTCAAAATTCTATCATGTTTTGTAATTATTCTAACATCGAAATTCTCACGTGATACAAGGCAAATATGCCCCAAAATTTCAAAAGTTGATTAAAATAAGTTTAGAAATTCAAGACCAGCGTCTCAAAATTTGTAAGAAAAATAAATTTCATGGATAGGAATTAATTGAAAGGATGAATATAAAAGTTGAAAGGAAAACTTCAAAAAGAACGTAATTTTGAATAGACATGTGAGATATACTGACAAATTTCGAAGGGAAAAAAAACCTCTATATTGACGAGGCCATTTTAAGTCAATTTTAAGCTTATTCGTACATGTTTTGGTAAACTGCAAATATGTCATTGATATCATATGATTAAACGATGATATGACTATACTTTGAAGATTAATGTGTGAACCATTTTTCATATCTCAATGTTGAATTTAACTATGGTGTGGCCGACATTGATTGAAGTAATCTCATGTAGATTGTCTTGAAGCGGGTTAATTGAATTTTATAGGCATAAACACTTAATCAAAGTTTACGAGAGGATTGGGGGTTCACCTTTGATGAATATAAATGTAACAATGATTTATTTGACAAGTGTGGGGTTGACTAACAGATAACCCTTATGAGTTTGAGATAAAAAATTAATAGTTGGGTCCTATAATAATGTTAAGATATTTGGGAAAGGTAAAATTTAAGAATTTTTTATTGACGCCAGCACTATATTAACAACCTACTACCAGAAATTGTTGATATGTATTTCCCTCGAAATTGGGATATAAAACTAATGAGTCATGATATATCACAACATCTTTCATGACTAGATATCAATGATGTGCATAATCGTCACTTTACAACTTAATTTATTCAAAATAACATGACACCACTAACAAAAAAAATATAAAGTAAGATGTCCAATAAAAAATCACAAAATGTCACAATAACTCCAAAATTAACCAATGATTACATTCAGATTAAAAAAAAAAGTACTCCAATATTTTATGCTCTTGCTTACCAATTTGCATGCCTCAATGCTAAAATTATATTACAATGCTTTTCAACTTTAGTATAAGAAAATTATATTTATTAATATTAAATACAAAATAAATTTAAATCCTTCATGATTTCCAAAACACTGACAATTACGAATAAATATTATATATCATCTTCTAATTAATGAGTATGGAAGCACTTTAAATACTAATAACATCATTATCAATTAAACTTATTGACAATCAGTTCGAAGATTCCCCTGCAGTGGAAACAATAACATAAGGGTGCAGGCCGTCTCAGTTCCGGCATAGACCACTCGCCTTGCGTCATTTTTGTCTTCACTGGGGAATCAGTTATGAATAAAGGAAATAATAAAATGAATCGGCCTGCAGATTCTGTCTTATTCCATGACCACAACTACCCCAGCAGCCTTTTTTTCAATTCCACCTCTCCCATTCTCTAGGTTCTTCAGTCCAGTCCAACCAGAACTAGGAGAGCGGGAAATACCAAAACAAAGCAGCAGAACCTTTCTTCAGATGGGAAGGCAACTTGGCCTCATTGCAGCAGCTACGCTGCTTTTCATTCATCTGTTCCCCATGGCACTTACCCTCAACCAAGAGGGACTCTACCTTCTTCAAGCCAAGCGCGGCCTCGACGACCCGAACAACGCTCTGGCTGACTGGAACCCACGCGACACATCCCCATGCAACTGGACCGGCGTACACTGTTCCATCTCCGGCGACGTCACAGCGGTCGATCTTACCTACTTCAATCTCACCGGGCCCTTCCCGTCCACCCTCTGCCGCCTTCCAAATCTCTCTTTCCTCTCCCTTTCCTCAAATTACATAAACTCCACTCTCCTTTCCTCCTCCCTTCTACCTTGCCGCTCCCTCAGCCACCTCGACCTCTCCCAAAACAACCTCATTGGCCCTCTCCCCTCTCTACTCCCTTCCCTTCCCCTTCTCCGTTACCTCGACCTTGCTGCCAACAACTTCTCTGGCCCCATACCACCTTCCTTCGCCTTCTTCCCTTCTCTTGAAGTCCTCTCGCTCACCTACAACCTCCTCAACGGTACCATCCCCTCTTTCCTCGGTAACCTCTCCTCTCTCCGCCAGCTCAATCTCTCCTACAACCCCTTCGCCGCCGGGCCAATTCCTGTATCTCTCTCCAATCTCACCAACCTTGACACCCTCTGGCTGTCCAGCTGCTCTCTCACCGGAGAAATCCCCCCTGCGCTGGGTGGACTACACAAGCTCACAAATCTAGACCTTTCCACCAACCTCCTCACCGGAGGCATCCCTGAAACTCTATCAAGCCTCTCCTCCGTCGTCCAGATCGAGCTCTACAACAACCACCTAACTGGCCGCTTCCCTTTGGGACTCTCCAACCTCACCGCTCTCCGCCGCATAGACTTCTCAGTGAACAATCTATCAGGCCCGATTCCGGCTGATATTTTCTCCGTTACCAATCTGGAAAGCCTCCATCTTTTCCAGAACCAGTTTACTGGCTCTGTTCCCTTAAACACAGCCAGGGCTCGCAACCTCTTAGACCTCCGACTGTTTGCTAATAAGCTATCAGGGACTCTTTCTGCTGATCTCGGCTCATACTCGCCGCTCAAGTATCTGGATCTCTCAAACAACCAGCTTTCGGGCAGGATCCCGGGCGGATTATGCGACGGTGGCTCGCTGCTGCAGCTTCTTCTCATTAATAATAAATTCTCCGGCAGCATCCCGACCGGGCTTGGACAATGCAGAAGTCTCTACCGTGTGCGTCTTACTGGCAACCAGCTCTCCGGCGATGTGCCGGCAGGCATGTGGGGTTTGCCGCATGTATGGATTCTCGAGCTTAGAAACAACTCCTTCACAGGTTCAATCAGTCGAGACATCGCCAACGCAGCGAACCTTTCCAAGCTGTTAATAGACATGAATCAATTCAGTGGAGAAATTCCGGTGGAGATTGGTTCACTCAACAAGCTCTTCGAGTTTTCCGCAAGCAATAACCTGCTCAGCGGCCCGTTGCCGGAATCTCTTGTAAAATTGACAGAACTAGGACAGCTTGACCTCCACAACAACTTACTCACTGGCAAGCTATTAACTGGAATCCAATCCTGGAAGAAACTGACCCTCATAAACCTAGCAAATAACAATCTCACTGGTGGGATTCCTCTGGAGCTTGGAAGCCTTCCTGTGCTGAACTATCTCGACCTCTCCGGCAACGACTTCACTGGAGAAATCCCGCTCCAACTGCAAAATTTGAAGCTGAACCGATTTAATCTATCCGACAATCAGCTCTCTGGTCCCATCCCTGCCTTATTTGACAGTGAATCTTACAAGACTAGCTTCCTTGGCAACCCCGGCTTGTGCTGGTACCGAGCTGGGCATTGTGGAAGCTCTAATAATAGCAGCCGAAGCCGCATCAAAGTTTTATGGCTTCTTCGAGCCATTTTTATTTTCGCCGCAGTGATATTAATTGTTGGAATTGCGTGGTTCGGTAATAAGTACCGGTTGATTAAGAAGGCTAAAAAGGTTCAGGGAAAATCCAAATGGACTCTAACTTCATTTCATAAGCTAACTTTTAGTGAGTATGAGATATTGGAATCCTTAGACGAAGATAATGTCATTGGCAGCGGAGCTTCCGGGAAGGTCTACAAGGTCGTCCTCGTTAATGGCGAGGCTGTGGCAGTGAAGAAGCTGTGGAGAACTTTGAAGAAGAGTGATGGGAACCATGACCAAGCTGCGGACGAAGCTTTTGAGGCAGAGGTAGCCACTCTGGGGAAGATAAGGCATAAGAATATTGTGAAGCTTTTGTGCTGCTGTGCTCACAAGGATTGCAAGCTGCTGGTTTATGAATATATGCAAAATGGGAGCTTGGGAGATTTGTTACATAGCTGCAAGGCCAGTGTTTTGGAGTGGCCTACGAGGTATAAGATTGCCTTGAATGCTGCAGAAGGCCTCTGCTATCTTCACCATGACTGTGTTCCCCCCATTGTGCACAGAGACGTGAAATCTAATAATATTCTTTTGGACGCTGAATTCGGAGCTAAAGTTGCTGACTTTGGAGTTGCAAAGATTGTGGAGGAAGTAGAGATGGGACAGAGATCCATGTCGTTTATTGCTGGCTCTTGTGGATACATAGCTCCAGGTCTGACATTCTACACTAATCTTATTTAGGTCATCATTCTTTTTGAGTTTTTCTTTTACTTGAGGTATATACCTTTATCTGTCATAGATATTATTGCTCTTTTTAATGTGAAAGTTAAATTTTTGTGGTTGCATGTGCTCACAAATGGCCACAATGCTTTTCTTTGTCTGGGAGTGACTAATACGAGTATCAAAGTTGGGCTAAATTTACAGTGATCAAATTATTTTCTTAATTTATTTCTCTTAAACTGAAAAATTTAAGCCTCTCATGTCCACGTCTAATTAGCATTTTACATGAACATATTTTGCAGTGATCTCCTCCTGACATGAGATTTCTTCTCTTTTGTCATTACTCTTCCAGGAGAAATTTATTTAGCCTGGTGAGCAATTTATTTAGCCTGGTGAACACCCTAGAGATGTTGTGTTAGTTACTTTTTCTTCAAAGCTTACTTAATCATGGCTAAAGTCGATCAAGGCACATCAAAGTTTTAAATTACATGAGTTACTCAATTTCAGCTAAATCATTGACTCCAACACCTCTTTTTTGGGGAGTTAGTTGAATGGGGATCAAAGTTGAACTAGATACACTCTTGAACCAATAGAGAATAAATCACTTATCATTCAATGTATTTTCTACCATTGCAGAACAAAACTGCGGCCCCCCGTGTCTTAACATTTGTTAAGGCTGTAGCTTAGAGTGTTGCCTTCTTCATTGCAGGAGTCATGGATGTAAATGTTATGTTGCAGCCCAAGGACAAATTAGTCTTTTATTAGCCTATGGACAATTTGGGAGAGATCTCCTACCTCTTGAATTGTAGGTGCTTATCTCTTATGTATTCATGTTGAGTTGTTTGGTGTTGTATGTCCTCGATTTGTTATCGATGGAATAAATTATTTTATTTCTGCCCTATTTTATCTGTAAAATCGTCTTAGGTCGTATCAAATAGAAATAGGTATCAAAGCTTTCGATTTCTGAGACATCAATGATAGATCGTAGCTTATAGGTACAACAAACCCTTGCAATCAAAATAGTAGCGTACAAGAATTTTTTGCAAAATAGCGGAGGCCAGGAAAGGATTGCGGTGTCTAGAGTTCCACACTGAACTTGCTTACAAGAAATGAAGATCATGGCATTCTAGAGTTCATGTCGTCTAGAGATTTGCGTCGAACCCGCGTATTGGGATTCCTGGATCATGGTGTCCAAAGTCCCGTATGGCGTGCAAGAAGTACACACAAAACCCATGTTTAGATTTCGTAGCTACTACCACTCATGACCAATGATCAAGATTGAGACTTACATGAATTCCTCCCAAGTTCAGTGGAAGTTTTTGCGATCAAAAATAGTTTTGGGGGTTATGGTAGCCATGAAAGTTGATGATTTGGAGCATAAATTAAAGGAGGTGAGCCAAATTAAATATGTGATGGAGGAAAGATTTTTAATTGCAGAAAGAAGATTTTTCTCAATGAAAAACCAAATTGAGGGCCAATTTAAAAGCTTGGAGGAGATGATGAGGAAGCTTATTGAGATGCAATCCAAGTTCCAGTAGACTTTTCAATTTACAAACCCTAACTAAGGGATGTCCAGAGGACCCTTGGCTAAATCGAAAGGGAATGAGATCAAACGAAAGGATTATGAGAAGGAAAGCGTCCATCGTCAAGAAACCCCTCCTATAGCTCCGATGGGGGTGAATTATAGATTTTCGTCTGAGGTGTTTGGGCTAAAACATAGACCAAGAGTCATGAAAGGGCATTAAGGAGCACGAAGATGGAAGGAGGGAAGCTGAAATGGGACTAACGATAATCAAAGGAGGGAGTTTTGCCTTTAATAAATGGGGGGAACACTAGAGGGAGAGGAAGTTGGGGTGAAAATGCTAGGGTTTGTAAGTTGATGATAACAATCTTTGAGAGGAAAGACAAACATAGGTGGGTGTATCAGGTGTAGCAATAATTTACGGTGAATGGGCTGAATGTGGAGGAGAAGCTCACTGCAGTAGGATTATGTTTGGAGGGGAATCCTCTAACTTTGTTTCTGTGAAGGGATGCTAGAGACCCAATCCGCTCATGGGGGGAATGTAAGGATTGCTTGCTAGAATATTTTCGAGGCATTTGAGAAAGAGATTTACACGAGCAATTTTTTGCACTGGTTTAAGAAAGTTTCGTCATTTAGTATAGGGAAAAATTTGAGATATCATCATCTTGTTTGAGGGGGATATCAAAAGAAGTGTGGGAAGACACCTTTATGAAATGGTTTAAGCCAGAGATTTGAGCATTACTTTGTCTGTTGAGACTATGAGGATTGAGGAAAACTATGGAATTAACATAGCTAGTTAGAGATAAAAATGTAATGTAATAGGTGAGTAGGAGCAGCAGTAGGGAGCTCCATGCCGAACTTTTACAACCATGGCGATACCAAAATTTCAAACAATGAAAATATTGAGGGAGGCTCCACATGATATGAATAATGGTGAGTGTCGGGTGCAACATTAAAGTGTTATATAGAGACAAATATTTAGGAGATGCAAACCAAGATATTATGTATTCAGTGTGATGACAAGTTTGCCTCATGACACAATTGCAAGGATCAAATGTTAAAGATTTTTATAGTGTTTGATGAGGAGTCAAGGGATGAACTAAGAATTAGGCTGTGGTGGAGGGGAGCGAGGAATACTCTCACTTTTTTTCAGCTTGAGGACAATGTGTCTTTTCATAGGGTGATTATTGTTATGACGTAGCCTAAAGGCAATTCAGTGCTTTATGATTATTATTGGCGAGTATAAATAAAGATAATATATTTAGGGTTTGGGCTATGCATGGCTTGTTGTCTTGTGTCTTAGGGTTTGGTTTTGAGTGAGACTTCCTATCTCTCGAATTGTAGGGAAGACATCACCTACCTCTTGAATTATAGGTGCTTATCTTTTATGCATTCTTGTTGAGTTGTTTGGTGTCGTATTGCATTGATTTGATATCAGTGTAATAAATAAATTTTTTTCTGCCCTAATTTAGGTGGAAAAACGTCTCAAATCGTATCAGTAAATCAAAGAACATATTTGTTGTGTTGGATAAAATAATGCTCTAGCTCAATTTTAACCAAAAAAGTTTTCTTTTATGGATAATGACCTACATAGTTTGATAGAAAATGATTGCATCAAGAGTGGACATCATTTTCATGAATGTCTACAAGATTTAAGATTGGGTCTTTTTCTTTACTTGCATGGTTGATCCTCTTTTTGGATATTTGACATATCTATTCAAGGAGATTTTGTGTTTGCTACAAAACTTGATCAACACTTTGTGTTTCTCAACATGTGCTAAATTAATTTTACTCTCTTTTCAATTTTATAAGGTTGACCTCTAAGAAGATACTTATAAGGGAAAATATGGATTAATATATACTTATCTAATTTTTTACTTGATAGACATAAAACATGACATATGCTAATTTTGTATTATTATTCTTTTGTTTATCATTTATTAATGCTTTAATATATTATTCTTATCCTATAATAATTTTTGTATTTTTTTTAATTTAACTGCAAAGTAACATCTCATAATTATATTTTATTGAAATAAAATAAAAATATAACTTCTGAATCTTTGGTTCTCATATCGATCTAAATCCAGGAGAATCTTATGCTAACATAAATTACTACTTGGCTTTGATTTTGAATCTCTTTAAAGTGTAGTGACCATGATAGCTTCTAACATCAAATATTTAATATATGAACCTAGCTTGGCACAATTTGGTTGTTAATATACCTGAGTTTTGCTTTTTCAATACTTAACCGAGATAATTTTAAGACTAGACCTCCAACAAAATTTTTCTGTTTTAAATAGTATATTAATGAGTACTTCAATTTTTTGGGTATTTATTGAATTATAAAATATTCAATATGTTCTTTCATAATTATTACTTTGAACATATATTTTTTTGGATTTCCCTCTCTTACTTTGTATTACAATCAATCATGAATTTGAATAGGCTATCAAATGTTTTGCTCTTACCCGAACATTCAATCTTAAGCTGTAATCAATGCCTCATACTCAAGTAAATTATTTGTGATATAAAAATTAATTTTTTAATATAAATTATAATAAATTTTGCTTTGCTCTAATACTTTTCAAATCTCGATTTTGTGATTCCTACAGGCTCCATCAAGTACATATTATTTGGGAGTTTTGTTTTTTACTAACAGACTCTTAGCATAAAATTAAATATTTCTTCGTTATTGTTTCTTGAATACTTAATTAATCATTCTCTAGTAATAATAATTTTATTTTTTAATTAAAAAAAATATTATATTGCAAGATTATAAGCCTTCTCCTATTATAAATGCCATCTTCTCATAATTTGCAAAATAATTTTTGATTTAATATTATCTAGAGAATTAGTCAAGAAAGTTCATAATTGAAATATCAGTTATGTAATTAACCAGAACATAAATTATTATAAGTGGATAATTGTTTTAGGTACTTATCAAATTTAAATTTTGTAATTCAATATAAATTTTTAGTTTTCATTAAACATTTACATTTTCGTCATATTTGAAATTCACAATAGATATTGTAGTTTTTTTAATAAATTCGATACCTTAAAGTTTTTAAATTTTATTGTGAATTGTTTTAGCCAGAGTTATAGCAATTGAATTGATATTCTAATTTGTTGGCCTAGCATTTTTTTTTTATGTTTTGCTTATGACAAAGGTATGTTAATGTTGATGTCTGATTTGCTAACTAGATATTATATCCTTTATCAAAAGAAGCATTGACTCAAAAAGAATAATTTGGATTTTTAAAAACTATTTGATGCTTGAAATTGCTACGAAGCTCGTCGGTCAATCATGCATGCATATGTGTCGATCAAGTAATATACAAAAATAAGTTTACGGATCGATCTCATGAGAATTATGTCAAAATATTTCTAACAAGGAAAGTTCTAATTTACTAAATCACTAACTCTACTTTGAAGATCAAATTTTAAAAAGAAAAGTCCTAAATCTTAATGCAGAAACAAGAAAACAGACTACGTTTTCTAAAATTTTTCAGATATGGAAGATTCATACTCCTATGACACCAGGCAAATGGTTCTCGCATTTTTTCTTGTGCAACCCACACTATTGTTGACAACTAGGACAAAGGTTTCTTCTTAGTTTATGCCTAAGTCATAAGTAGAATAAAAAATCCATAAAGTTAAGTTTTGCTTAACCATATGACATTTTCCGGGATTCTTTAGATCACATTTTCTAGATTGCAAAGCACAAATGAGAATCTTTCTATTTCACAAAGTCTTTGTGATTAACTTATTTGTCCTTCTAGGAGAAGGGCAGAATTCTTATTTTAATATTCTATCTTGTTCGAATTGAAGTATATTAAGTTCAAAAAGTTAACACATCAACATACTCAATTCATGCAAAAGAAAGGCGTCGAGAGAACAAAAATCTTTAGAATGAAACAACGAGAAAATCATGTCTTACATGACAGAGCATGAAATGAAGTCAATCATAATGCATGAGCAAGCAACGACGAAATTTTTTATTGTAGGCATAATAAAGATTACAGTGCAAGAGATCCAAAGCATTCATTCAGAGCTAATCAATCCTTAACATTACACCGCGCTCTGTTCTATTCAGAACAAGCTCTCATAGTTTATTGTAGGCATAATAAAGATTACAGTGCAAGAGGTCCAAAGCATTCATTCAGAGCTAATCAATCCTTAGCATTACACCACGCTCTGTTCTATTCAGAACAAGCTCTCATAACTCTCCTGTCTTACAAGACAATCACCTCATCTCTCAAGAAATCACAAGAGAACCTCAACAAACAGGCATGGAAAGAGAAAAGAAAACTATCATAAGAGTTCCTTCAAGGAAGAAGAAGAGAACTCTAGGGTTTACATTCTAACTCTCAAATCTACTTAGAAAGCCTCCAAAGTCTGCCTCCATCTGTCTCAAGTTGTGCCCTAGCATCCCTTATATAGAAGAGGTCCCAAAAAAACATGAAATTTCTTTCAAAATCAATTGTCTTCACGACACCCGAAACTGGTGTCGTTATGCCAGAACTGGCATAATAACACCTAGATCTGGCATGGTTATGCTAGACCTGTTGTAGTCACGCCCAAATCTAGCATGTATAAGCCATTCCTAGCTCCTTTTGATGTTTTGACTTTGTTTTGCGCGCTCAACACCTATAACCTACCTAACACCACAAACAATCTTTCATAAGCATAAAATCATGATAAATGAAAAAAAACATGATATTTAATGCAATAAAATTATGTAAATTTCCCCCGTGTCACTACTGCTTTTTCTATTTTTTCAAAATTTTTAAAGTCTTGCAACCCACAAAATCATGAGCTTTAAAACTTCTTAGAATACTCACAGCATTGAAATAAAACACTCTTAATAAAACAAGTCATCATCACTATTTGTCCATCATAGAAAATTTCACCGTAATATGATATGTGGAGGTGATCGCATTGAATGTATTTAAAAGCGATCTACCAAATGTTGCATTATAAGTAATCGGTGATCTATAATAATGAAATAGGTCACTCTTGTAAATTTCTTTAACTTTTTCCTCCCAGCAACCAGCTATAGTATGATCATTTGTGTCATTCTTTTTTCTTTTTTGTCTAGAGAAGTGGAATAGTGGTCTAATATTTTGCACTAAATGAGAACCATCAGTTTGTTTTTACAAATTCACTTTTAGAAATTATATTTACCATGCTTCTTATGTCAAAGATAATATTGCTATTTTGATAATTTGTGATTATAGCGAGAGCGTTATAAGAATTATTATATGGATTCTCTTTTATTTGTCTAACTTCTTTAATAAATTTAACTGGCTACCTCTATACCTAGAGCTCTTAATATGGTGGCCAATTTTTTCTATCTTGGCCAAACTCATTTAAGGCTTGATCATTGAGATGCTTTTTCCTTAGACCCACAAAGAATGTGGGGTGATTATGTAATATGTATTGTTTGTGCTGGGCTAGGACAAGTTTGTTCTTTGTATCCTTTATTGTTTCTTTTTTAAGCCTTCTCTGTGCCTGGCAAGAATGATTTTTTTTAGTTTTTTTAGTTTAATATGTCCCTCTATCAAATTATAGAGATGTCAACATTTCACCATATTTTTTCCTTGTTCTCTATAGAGTGCACACTATTTTTGAAGGATTATTGTGTGTGGACTAATCTTCATGGGAGATAGTCACTTGAAATAATACTTGTATTGGATGGATTCATTTCCTATGCCACCAAAGACATGGCAATGTGGTAGTCGCTAATGGTAACTGCAAGGTGGCAATTTCTTCATCTTTCTATTCTTATCTCAATTTTCATTTTGAACTTGTATTATTAGATGACGTGGTCATTAATTGTAGTTTGTGTTGCTGTGGATGAATGCTTGTGTTTTCTTTTACCCTCTAAAACTTTGGTTGACTTTGCTAATCCTTAGGACATTGTCGAGTTTTCTCTGTCTAGTCAAAGCTCTTTTTTGGATTTCAAGTTGATGTAATTGGTTCATAATTGTATTTCTTAGCAGTAGAATTACCATTTGTGAGTTTCAATAGCTTAAATGAAGTCCTTAGTTTCTGTAGTACGAAGGCCAGCAAAAAAGTTTTTTCCAAATATCTTGAGTGCACCATGAAATATGGCTAACTTAGATCTCTTACCTCCAATATTCATTTTCTGAAACCTTATTATGAGCTTGAAGAATGAGATGGTCGTTTTGAGTGATAGGCATTAAAACCACCTGGGATGTTGCCATTTCAAAATTATAAAGAATAACTTACATTTCAAAGAGCCATTAAGTTTAAATAATAAAACAACGGAGTTGCATCAGATGACATAATCCGTTGGGTTAATTTTGTCTTCATAGGAAACAAGATAAAGAATAATGAATTTTATTGGAGGCTTCCTCTTCTTAGCTTGTCTCTTTGCTCAATAAGTGGAGGGAGACGTGTTATGATCCAAGATCAAAATCAACACGTTTTTCCACAAAAATTAAGACAAAAACTAATTTTATTTCTCGAGCATCAAATCAAAGTAGTACAATACTAATAACTCACACGAATACAAAACACAAGCACCTACCATTCGAGAGGTTGACAATCTCTCCCAATTCCTATAATACAAGAGGAAGAAAATATTTCTCAAACCTTAAGCCGAAGATAAAAGACTTAATCTCATGCATAAACCTAGCCCTGAACATAAGTAGTCTATTTATTTACAACAACAACAATAATAATAAAGATAAATTTGCCCTTAAGCTAGGTATCAGCGTAACAATACTCCCCTTACCTCCCTAAAGACACCTTGTGCATAAGGTGGGAAAAAATAAGTCTGTTCCTCCACCACATTTGTATTTATTTCTTCATCCTCTATCTCCTCCTTATGCACAATGAGAACTTGTTATTTTAGATCCGTACAATGGTGTTCAAGGGTAAACTTCTCATTACATAGAAAATATAACCCCTTGGCTCGTTTCTATTCAATCTCTCTCTTTATAATGTGCTTGAGTGTCGCTCCCGTTCATGAAAAATTTTTCTTGACTAGTGTAGCCTCCGTCTAGGCTTCTATTGTATGAGCTTTTGGTATCGTCATGGTTATAGAAGTTCGGCACGGAGCTCCATCTATGTTGCTTCTGCTGGTCTTCTACATCTAGTTCCTGTCATCCATCATCTAGGTAGCTCCATCACCCCCCTTAATTCCCGCATTTTCAATAATTTGAGTGCTGCCCTTATTTTGGGTTTTTGGCTCTTCATAAATTTTTTTTTCAATCCTACTTCAGAATTCTCCCTCAACTGTCCTGACAATGGCTTGAATCGTCCATATATTCCATAACAGTCCCGTCCTAATTCAAGGTTAGAGTTTGCTCATGTAGCTCTCCTTCCCGAGTGGCTGGAAAATGTTCCAACAAATTCTTAAATTTTTTTCACAAACAGATCTGGTATATAGCCTCTCATAACTGAAATCATTCCAGAGCTTTCCCCTCCAAAGATAACCATGCCGCCATGAGCTTCTTCTCCCCATATAGCCCATTCACCACAAAGAAACATGTGTAATTGTAGGAACGCCTCCCATTTTTATATATTGTGATAACTATCAACTCTTAAAAAAACAAATCAATGTATTTATTAAAGTAATAAATATGGGTGTTATTCCTAATTAGAGAATAAAATAACATAGCAATGTTCTCAAGGAGACTTTCATAACATAGCAATGTTTGTCCTAGCTTTGAAGCCACTTGCCCAGGCCATAGAAGGCACGTGCTTAGCTGAAATTGCAATAAAAGCCTTGGTGATCTGGTCTGTTTAGCCAAGCGACCATGCTTATCCCATCAACGATCTCACTTATTTGATATCAAAAGCCTGAAAGCACTAGCTTGATTAGCTGTCTACATTTAATCCTCTGGATCTTGGTTACTATATCCATATGTCTATAACGGTCCTGAGATGTATTTATTTATTTATTCTTCTAGTATAGCTTTTTCTGTTATTGCCAACTCATCAAATAAAGACTCAAGGGTGTATGTAAAGTGATTTACAGTATTCTGAGTCATGAGTTATGGCAAAAGGAATCCCAAAAGTTTTTCTCTCTAGACGTACTCTCTCTCTATATTCTCTTCTATGTTTTAACCTGACAGTTCATCTTAGTAGCATACAGGTCTCATACAAAGCAGATTTTGATTCAACATTATAAGTTTGTTCATCTTACAACATTGTTTTTTGTTGTGCTCCTTTTAACTAGAACTGAAGTAACATTAGCATACAAATTTTATTGTGCAAGGCTGTATTTTTGTTCTGTTTTCACCGTATCAGTGTTATATGCTTCTATCAGTATTGTTTTAGAATAATACTAGCTACATAAAGATCAGTTGAGCCTTATTTTTCCTAGTTACTCTTGTCTAAATTATCTGGCGAGTGCCCTCTATATGCAATTCTAATCTCTCTTTGAACTGCTGCAGAGTATGCATACACTCTACGTGTAAACGAAAAGAGTGACATATACAGTTTCGGTGTAGTGATCCTTGAGTTGGTAACAGGCAAGCTTCCTGTGGATCCTGAGTTTGGAGAAAAGGATTTGGTGAAATGGGTGTGCAGCACAATCCAAAATAAAGGGGAAGAACATGTAATAGATTCCAAACTTGATCTCTCCTATAAGAAGGAGATCACCAAGGTTCTTCACATAGGCCTCTGCTGCACCAGCACTCTTCCTATTAACCGCCCCACCATGCGAAAGGTTATCAAAATGCTGCTTGATGCCGGCAAGCCTGAGTCTTCTTCCAGGGAGGGGAAGCTATCACCATATTTCTATGGAGATGAATAATGCATGTGATCGTGCTTTTGATTCCTTGTTCTGTGGTGACAAGAGCAGGAGGAAGGAAATTTAATAGTGGAAATGTCTACTTCCAATGCTGCGTTATTATACTCATCTTTTTACATCAGTGGAGGCGTTCCAATTCTAGTGCTCATGGCTAGTTATAAGGCATTCGTAACAGCAAAATCTAGAAAAGTTTCTCACTTTATTGGCATGTGATTTGAGGTGCGGCATTCAGTGCAACTTTTTGGTGGCTTCTGTAAATGAAAATTTGTGGTGTGCTTCTATAAATGAATGCTCCTTTGCCCAAAAGCATGAAGGATACAGGTTGAACTATGACTTATGTGTCTAATCCCCCCACTGGAATCCCACCGGAATCCCCCACCGGATTCGTAATACTCCTAGCAAACGGAGGCAGTTCTTTTTTAAAGTATAATATCATATATTTCTACTTTAAGCACAAAATGATTTAGAAATTTATAAAAATTTTGTGCTGATCTCCCAAGTCAAATCAAAAATCTTGAAATGTGAGTCAATTTTCAAGACTTAGATTAGTATCGCTTGAGCTACTCTAGAGCTATGCATACTTTAGGGTGTTTATATAAGCAAGTTAAAACACATATTGCCAAAATCTTGCATGTGCATCAAAATTTTTAAAATCATCAATCAAAATATTCAAGTCAAAATTAATCACTAAAAAGGCTTAAAGTAAAATTTCATCCACCTTCCACAATAGTTTGTCGTTTTCATCGCTGTATCGTTATATTCACAATCGAAGCAATCACATGCCATAAAAGACGTGGCCCGAGTTCTTTGTTCACGTGGTTTTGCCATCAAATGACACCACAGATAGCGGTTACAATCAGTCATCTGATTGTGTGATTGGCACCAAATAATACCATTATATTACAAGCACGATCGCAACCCGTATGTTCCCCAATAGTTTTCTACCTTTTGAGTTATGAATTACAAGGATACAGTTGATTGACACAAAACCTTCTGTTAGCTAAGGTCGACTTAAATTTGTTCCATTGGAGAAATATCCATCCAAAATCTACAAAGATCTCTTGGATGATGCAGTCCATGACTTCTAATAAGAATACTTCTGTCAGGTTTGGTCGACTATCTCTGCTAACTAAGTAGATCAGAGACCACAGCAGACATGGATGACAAAATCATGGGATCTTCATCAGGTTTCGTCTTCATTCCCCCATCATTTGCTTTAAGTTTCAAGTGGTGAGTTTTACAGTTTATATCATAAATCTGCTGACATTATATGTTGAATATTCAATTCTTAATGACTTGTCTTAGTCGAAAGTTATCTCCCATTATCAAGAAAGATAATTAACCATATGGGTTTGCGCCAATGGGATCATCGTTAAATAAAGGCGAAGTCTCTGGGTAGTGTCTTATCTTTGATCTAATCTACTTTCTGAAAATTCGACCCTTCGAAGTTCTCTCTCTCAAAATAAGAGTAAAACTAAATGCAGAGAGTTCTTAGGGAGCGGTCATAAATTTTTGAAACCCACAGATTTATTCTCAGGGAACGGTCATCAGCGTTGAGCAATACTTGATAAGTCTCATAATTCTTTCCTCTCCAGCAAACACGTCTTTTTGTTTTCTTCACGCCTGTTGTTGTCCTAATTGTGTGCCCCTAAACTGCGTAATTCAGCAAGTGCTTACTTCTTCTAGCATGATTTTGAGTTGTAAAAAGTGACATATGGGTTTTTCAACGAGAAATCAGCTATTTCTGTTATATAAGTTCATTTTTAGATTTTTGCTGAGTTGATCTTATCAACCATGGGAATCAGCTGTTCTTCCTGAATCCTTTGCTTACCATGACAGTTTACTTTTAACTGCAGATATAGTTCTGGGCCAAATTTTTTAATCTTCTGTAAACTGTCTCCGATTATTTATCGAAGAAGACAGTAGAAAACAATGTTCTAAATCTGATATTTTATTTTTTAGTAATTTGTTAACAAAGAAGTAGGACATTGCAGTAGATAAATCAGAATCCTTTTTATGTTTTATTAATTTCGTGTTTGCATTAATATGTGTATAGCCTGAAGGTATTGGAGCCCTTGTCGAGCGAAAGGAGGCGCCGCCACTAAAGTCATCATCATCAGAGTCGTGAAAGTAGCAAAGCATCCAACCAACCGACCACATTGGGTCAGCCCGCCACCCCCGGTCGGCCGACCACATTGGGCTGCCACAAGTTATCCCAGTCGGGCGTGCTGGCCACCTCCAGCTGATCGGCTATCCTGGCCAACCACTTCTAGTAGGTCGAACACTCTTGATCGGCCATCCGACGATGATGAGCCCCGCGACAGAAATGCTATAGATCGTCATATCCAACAAAGGAGTGAAATACCCTGCACCGCCCTCATTAACGCAAGGGCATTCTTCTAATAATAATTTACCTCCCTTTTTTTATTTCTTTAAATAGAGGATCCTTAAAAACATGTAAAAAGATGTCTAGGTTTTCTCTCTCTCTCTCTCTCTCAACCATCATGTAAAGGGAACTCTCCCCTTGTTCCCGCTTGTAACCCTAAGTTTAGGGGAATAAAAAGGGATAAAGAGCCCGGGATTAACCCTCATTGAAGTAGTCGTCATCGAAGTCGTGACAAAAACCAAGTACCAAGCCAGCCGACCACCCTGCTCCAATTGGTCGACCTTCTTGCTCCAACCGGCTGGCCACATTAGGCTGGTCAAGTTATCCTAGCTGGCAGGTCATCCTAGTCGGCTACCTCCAAGCAGCCGATCATATTGGGCCGGCCATTCTACCCTAGCCGACTGACCACATCCAACAGACTAGCCACCTTGACTGACCACTTCCAGCTGGCCAATCACTCTTGACCGTCTAGCCCACTGATGAGCCCCACGACAGAAACACTCCAGATTGGTATATTCAACCAAGGAAAGGACTGAAATACCTTACACCACCCTCTTTATTGCTAGGGCATTCATGTAATAATACTTTTCCCCAATCACTCTTGACCGTCTAGCCCACTGATGAGCCCCACGACAGAAACACTCTAGATTGGTATATTCAACTAAGGAAAGGACCGAAATACCTTACACCACCCTCTTTATTGCAAGGGCATTCATGTAATAATACTTTTCCTTGTTTGTTTTACTTCTATAAATCTAACTCTTGGCATATGTATAAGGTCCATAGGATCTCTACTCAACCCCCATTTAAAGGGAACTCACCCCTTCTTTTTGCTTATTACTCTCAAGTTTAGGAAATAAAAGGGGTTAAAGAGCCCAGAAACACCTCTCTTTGCCGCCTGATGAAGCAAATCTCTCTCTTTCTCTTTCTCTCTCCCCCTTTTTTTCCCTCGGCCATCGTGCTCTATCCCTTGAGCACTCACTGTACGTATTTGGATTCAAAAATATACTAGGTGCAACTTTTAATGATTTGTTTTTTAATAGTCGGTGTTTTAATTATGGAACTTATAATACTGACTTGTTATCAAGAATAGTATAAAGTATTATTCATCTAGAAATTTACATACATTCCACACAATTCTTATATATATATATATATATATAATATTTAAATTCTCGATCAAGACTATCTTGAGAGTAGACAATTGTGCTCAAATATCTCTCCTGGATTTTCCAAGGATCAATAATTTCATAATCCTCTAAATTGATTTCGAGGATTTTTTTCTTTCGATATTTTTTGCACAAATTCTGTGACATCTTGGATTTGTAAATCAGGAGATTGAGGAGATTTATTTTTTTATGTGGAGACCATTGGGCTTCCATATAAATATTGTTGTAAATGTATAAATTTTCGTAGAGCCACATTAGGTTGGCCCCTACCTATAATCAACTTTATATAATTATAATGAATCAAATAATTCTATTGTATATAGCAAGGTGATAATAAATCACATCTTGTATCAATGAGATTGGGGTTTAACTCATTTTCAGATTAAACAGGTTGAATTTATTCATCCTCTAAGTAATCAGAAAAAATCATTTCTTATTAATTACTAGACCTATGTCTAAGCTATTAATTGAGCTTTTTTGCTCATTAATCCATGGAATAAACATTCTTGGCTTTTTTTGTTAATGTCTGAAATTTTGAATAAAGAAATACCAAATTAATTTTTAGAATGGTGGGAAAATTTTGGAGCCACCAATGAAATCCTTCCAGAACCCATCAATGAGCTCTATCCAACGTGGGTTAACTCTTAACCTCAGCTCGACAAAATAAAAAAAAATGAAATATTAGCCAATGTAATGTGTGAATTGTTATTCTTTTGTCAAGTGCAAATTCCATGGATCTTTGCTTGGAATCTATGTCATCAACAAGATAGAGTCAATGTCAAAGGCTTATGGCGTACCTTCTTCATAAAATGGTGGTCACAAATTATTGTTGGTGATAAAATAATTTAAATTAAAAAAGTCATTAATTCTAATGTTGAAAATAAGCGAGAATAGTGATCTTAAGAATTTTCACTTAAGGAAATTCATGATCAAATTAAAAGAAAATATCTTTAAGAATCTCTAGATCAAATCAAATAAAGAATACAAGAACTTTATTAGAAGCAGATGAAAGAATTATTTTCAGAAGACGACATGTCAGTCTCTAATCAAAGGTCAGTTGACGAAGAAAATTAGGAGAGAATGGTGACCCACCTCGGCTCAAATTAATGGCAGAAAATTATTGTGGATCTCCACTAAGGTCACTTCAGAAGAAATTATGGGTAATAATGACGGTGGATGAAATAGTACCAGTTGGTGAAATAGTGATTGCAATAAATATGGTTGGTGTAATAGTATTTTAAAATATTTTTTTGCTTTATGTCACATCCAACGGATGTATTATCTTTTATTTAATTATATTGTATTAAGTTTGGAGTCTGCCCTCAATTATAAATAGGGGCATTGTATTCTTTGCTGGTGTGAAAGTTTCCTTCAAGTTCTTTCATTGTAATATAAAAGTATCTGTCCTGTGTGCTCTTCAAGTCTTGTGCTCTGTAACTTTCTACTATTTTTAATATATATTTCTGTAAGCAATTAAGAAAGTCTCTTTTATTCGATATAGGATACTGAATCCATTTTAAAACTTCATTTAAGGGTTTATAGTTGATAACTAATCTCAGTTTATTTATTTCTTTTTTTGCATTATTCATAACACAGAATATAGTACAACTCCAAGGTGAGCTAGATTTTCTAGTTAATTTCTTATTAAGGAGTTCATTTCTTTCTTGTTTACAAATTTTTAAATATTCTAGATTTATTTGACAAGGTCGTGCCTTTATCTTGATGTTTCTTTCAACAAAATTATCAATGTGTGATAAAGCAATACAATGTTTTTTCTATCCCAAAAGGCAGTTGGATTGTCACCATAAATTTCTTTTATCAAATTTTTATGTTAAGTAAAAAT